AGGGCTTTACACAGCTCGCAGACCTGAGAGGACATCAGCGCACACACACTGGGGAGCGACCGCACTGCTGCGCTGACTGCGGCAAGGACTTTGCACAGATCGCACAGCTGAGAATGCACCAGTGCACGCACACCGGGGAGCGGCCGTATCACTGCACCAACTGTGGCAAGAGCTTTGCACACAACTCAAGCCTGAGAATACATCAACGCACACACACTGGGGAGCGGCCATACCACTGCACCGACTGCGGCAAGGGCTTTACACAGCTCGCAGACCTGAGAGGACATCAGCGCACACACACTGGGGAGCGGCCATACAGCTGTGATGTGTGTGGCAAGAGTTTCATCAGTGCCAATGTGCTGACCGTACACCAGCGCACGCACACAGGGGAGCGGCCATACCACTGTGCTGACTGCGGCAAGAGCTTTGCACACAGCTCAGTGCTGAGAAAACACCAGCGCGCGCACACTGTGGAGCGGCCACACCGCTGTGGCAACTGTGGTAAGAAGTTCAGCAGTACTGACAAGCTGACCCAGCACCAGCGCCCCCACACCGAGGAGCAGCCGCACCGCTGTGCTGACTGCAGGAAGGGATTTTCACAGATCTCATACCTGAGAAGACATCAGCGCACGCACACCGGTGGGGAACGGCCACACCGCTGTGCTGACTGCGGCAAGGGCTTTGAATATATCTCAAACCTGAGAGTACACCAGCGCGTGCACACCAAGGAGCGGCCATACAGCTGTCCCAAATGTGGCAAGAGCCTCAGCAGCGCCCATGCAGTGACCAAACATCAGACCACGCACACCGGGGAGCGGCCATTCCAGTGCAATGTCTGCGGCAAAAGCTTTGCACATAGCTCATACCTAAAAATACACCAGCGCATTCATACCGGGGAGCAGCCGTACAGCTGTGCTGACTGTGGCAAATGCTTTTCTCAGTTCGGCAATCTCACCCGGCACCGGGTCACTCACACCAACACCCTTGTGTAACTACCAGGGCCAGAGGGGCTCCTGGCAGCCGATGGGCCTGGCCCAGCACCAGCAGATGCAGACCAGGGAGTGGTCCTGTCCCCATGATGCACAGCAGAGAGACTGTAGGGGCAGGGCAGAGGACTTTGCTGAGCAGTGTGGGGAAGAGCAGACAGGTGGGGGGATTTTAGAGCAGATGGTCACAGCCTACTCCATTAGGGACCCCTGCATCTAGCTGGGATCCACCTAGGATATCCCCTCCTCTCATCTCGCTGGGATCCAGCCAAGTCTCTCTCCACACACAGATCTAGGTAGGATGCAGCCAAGACACATGCCCCACCTCCCCATCTAGATGGGACCCAGCCAGGATCTTTCCACCACACCTACCCTGGTTCCAGCTGGGGGTGACTTTTGGGCGACATCTAGAGGTGGGATTTGTAGTCCTGTCTCAGCATAGATTGGACTGAGGAGTGGGGCAGGACAGCCCAGTGCGTGTGATTGGAAGGAGACTCAGGAACTGCTCATGCCGTCTACTTTAAATAGAAATGGGATGAAGAAGAACTACGTACCTAATGTGTAACAAAGGTCTGTCTAACCCGGTGTTTCTTTGCTATTAAAGAAGCTGATGCTTTCAGATGTCATGGGGAAAAGCCTGTGTGAAGTGTAAATCTTTAAGATGAACCAACCAAAATGTTCTAAGGCCTAACTGAACACGAGGCCTCGTGAACCATGTGACTGGCAGCTGCACAAAGAGTTTCCCATTCTATGCTAAAAAAAATTAAAACGTAAAATTCTGCATATTTTATTTGTCAAAATAATACAATAGAATTAAGCTAATTTCAATTATTTTGCTAATTTATTTCAAAATACTTGTCAGCAACTGTGTCTATAACAGTACAAACAACTAGAAAAGATTCAGGAAGTGATTTTTCACAAATAGATTCCTTACTCGACCTATTAACACAGAACATTGAGTAATAATTCATTTAAACTACAATGTAGATATGTGTTTCTCGCACCCCTCAGAAGCAGTGCAAAGGCTTGGGGGAGTCCGGGGTCATGGAGAAGCTGAGGGAGAGGGAAGTAATTGCTGAGAAGGAACCTGGAGTGAACTTTGAGAGTTGTTGGGTGTGGGTGGAAGAAGTATGGAACAGGGTTTTGTAATGGGGGGGCGTGAGGGAGAGGGTGATTGTTAGAGTTGGAGAACCTCCCTTATGGAGACCTTGTCACACCCTGGACCTCACCCATTCAGTCAGACACCTCTGATCCTGTCCCCATGTGTCTCTGCATCCCCGCTTGCATTCAGCCCCTGGCTCAATGTCACCCACTAGCTCCTGTGACCACCCCCACCCCCAGCAGCCCCATATGCCTCACTGTGTCCATCCCTCCTTGCCCCCCCATATCGCTTGCCTCCACACCTGGCCCCATGGGCAGTATGCTGTGAAGAATGCAGCCTCTAACCACCTCCCTTTTCTCCAGCCGTGAGCCAGCTGCCCTCTCTTTTGGTGCCACAGCAGCCCCTAGTGGGCAAAAGGTGTAATTACAGTGCTTCCCCATCGAAATTGATTATTCTGAGGTGAAAAGAAATCTGCAGGGGCTATGAATTCTAAGCTAGGACAGATATTCCTCCAGAAATATCGCATATGAAGCAACAATACTGGTGTTATCCATGAGATGTAGGGGATAATCAAGCCCTGGCACAGAGGTGCGTAGAGCTGTTAGGGTTCTTTCATTAACTGTACTCCCCTGTTGGCCATGTGGTTGCCAACTTTCTAATTTCTGAAAACGACACTACAGCAAGAGCGCTGGAAGTTTCCCCTGCCCCACCTCTTCCCCCTGAGGCTCTGGCCCCTGGTCTGCCTCTTTCATTGATGCCCCAACCCTTCCCCGCACTTTCCCCTCTCCCCTCCCACCGCATTTCTTGTCACTCAATCGTCACTCTTCCCCATCAGAGCTCTCTCTATGCCGGGGATGGGATGGGAGCTGCAGCCCCGACGTGGAGACTATCTGCCCACAAGATACAGATAGGAGGTGGCCCTGAGTGTGCAAAGGCTGGCGTGGGTTGATGACCCTCTTCCGCGTGCCCCCATCCACGGTAACCAGACTTTTGGAGTGCAGATAGTAGATCTGATAAGAAACTCTGCAGATCCCCTTTTGACTGGACTTTCTGGTAAAAAAAATGAGACACCTGACAACCCTAGCCACAGACCACGCAATTGAGTCAAATCACTATATATGACTGATGAATTACTATCCAAGGACAGAGCAATCCAGGCGTGGGAAGAGACTTTCTATAGCGACGCTGTTCTAACATCCAGATGGACATTTCTGCAGACAGCTACGGATGCTGATGGAAAAAGCGTGGAGTCATGCAAAGTTGAACAAACGAGCGCATGGCAGAGAGCCCACGGAAAGTAACATGTGGAGGTAGGTTACTGACCGGATATGAGCCAGTAGATGATGTGACAGGTTGTCCCCCTCCCCCCTTCTGGGATGCCACCTGGTGTACTGGGATTTCACTGAGCCTGCCTACTCCACTAGCCTGGGTTCCCGCTCCCTGTTTGGCTGAATTAGGCTCTGCAGCCTCTGGCAGCACACAGCTGTAGAATCTCACAGTCTGCAAACAGCGCTCTGTGAGAAGACTCAGCACTCAAGTGCAGCTCCCCTCTGGAAAGTACACCCAAAATACTGTATTGCACTGTAGAGAAATCTGTACAACATAAGCTCATAAATTCGCCCCCTCCCTCAATATGGAGGAAGATGTGCACAATTCCCCCCTGCCCCCCTCTCCCCCCGCCGCATTATGAATCGCACAGACTGGATTTAATTAAAAAAACAAGTTTATTAACTATGAAAGGCAGGCTTTAAGTGATTATAAGGGATAGCAAACAGAACAAAGCAGATTACCAGGCAAATCAAACAAAACACTAAAACGTCTAAGGCCATGTGTACACTACACAGGTTTTGGTGACACTGCCATGTCGCTAAAAGTTGGGCAGCATAGACGCTGTTTGTCGGCTCTTTTGCCAACAAAATACTTCCATCCCCAATGAACGGAGTTCACATTGTCGGCAGGAGAGTGCTTCTGCCAACAACACGCCGTTTACACTGGCACTTGCTGCGACAAAACTTTTCTCTTTTGAGGGGAGGGGGAAGTTGACACCTCTTAACTACAAAAGTTTTGGTGTTCAATTGCGCATGTAGACATGGCCTCAGGCTTTGTCTACACTGGCAGATGTCCATTGCCAGCAGTTACAGCGACGCTCAGAGATCACTGCAGGGAAACCACAGTTGTGTGCTCACATGGTCAGCTGCCTGTGCAATAGTGCAAACACACTTGCAGCACTTGCATTGGCATTCGGAGCGGTGCACTCTGGGTAGCTATCCCATGGAGCATCTCTTCCTCTTCTGCCGCTAAGTGTTTTGGGAAGTGAACAGGAGCTTGATGTTGATCTCACCACGCATAGTAGCTACGACACGAGATTGCTTGTGGCAGTCACAGAGGTGCTGACCACAGTGGAACACCGCTTTTGCGTTCAGGAAACAAGCACTGAGTGGTGGGATCACATCGTCATGTATGTCTGGGATGACAAGCAGTGGCTGCAGAACTTTCAGATGAGGAAAGCCACTTTCATGGGTCTGTATGATGAGCTTGCCCCAGCCCTGCGGCGCGAGGACACGAGAATGAGAGCTGCCCTGCCCATGGAGAAGCACGTGGCGATTGCACTGTGGAAGCTGGCTACTCCAGATTGCTACCAATCAATCGCTAACCAGTTCGGAGTGGGAAAGTCGACCGTTAAACTTGTGTTGATGGAAGTGTGCAGGGCCATTAATCACATCCTGCTTAAAAGAACCATTGCTCTGGGCAACGTGTGTGACATTGTGGATGGCTTTGCACAAATGGGTTTCCCTAACTGCGGAGAGGCGATAGATGGCATGCATATTCCAATTCTGGCACGAGACCATCTAGCCTCCGAGTACATTAATCGCAAGGGGTATTTCTCGATGCTTCTCCAGATGCTTATGGATCACCGTGGGCATTTCACAGACATTAATGCAGGCTGATCCGGAAAGGTGCATGACGCACACATCTTTCAGAACACTAGACTGTTCAGGAAGCTGCAAGCTGGGACTTTCTTCCTGGCAGAAGATCACCGTAAGGGAAGTCGAAATGCCCATTGGGAGACCCCGCCTGCACCTTAATGCCATGGCTCATGAAGCCATACACAGCGAGCCTTGACAGCAGCAAGGAGCGGTTCAGCAACAGGCTGAGCAAGTGCAGAATGACTGTTGAGTGTGATTTTGGTCATTTAAAGGCCCGCTGGCGCTGTCTGTATGGGAAGCTGGACCTGGCCGATGACAACATTCCTATGCTTATAGCCACGTGCTGTACCCTCCATAATATTTATGACCGGAAGGGTGAAAGGTTCACTCAGGGATGGACCATGGAAGCTCAGCACCTGGAGGCTGAATTTGAACAGCCAAAAACCAGGGCTATTAGAGGGGCGCAGCGCTGGGTCATAAGGAGCAGCTGAAAGCCAGTAATATTTGTTGCTGTGCTCAGGAGTGCAGTGCTTGTAAAGCTAGTAGGTGACTGCAATTGTTCCATACTATAGACTGAGATAACTTTAGAAAAATGCCTGTTGCTTTGCATGGCTATGTTTGCTTTCATTTAATGTAATAAAGATTGCTTTCAAACCAAACAAATTTATTTATTAAAAAATAACAACCGGAGGAGAGAGACAAATGGTAAAACACATCTGCACTGTGTGGGATGGGGGTGGGGAGGTGTGATGGGGGTTTGGTCACAGAGACCCCCTTGGGACTGTCATCTGATGTGCTGAAATTACCTCTGAGCCCATTTTCCCTGCCAGCTTGGGATTTCCAGAACCCTGTCTTGTTGAGCCAGACACGCTAGCCTGCTGCAACACGGATCCAGGGTCTGGGCCATGCCCCCAAAGCTGCAGACTTAACTGAAAACAGCTCAGCAAGTTACCTGTCTCCCACATCTAGACACCCAGCCCCCCCAATAAATCTGTTTTACTCCGTATAAAGCGAATACAGGGTAAATTCGTAAATTGTCTGCCCTCTATAACACTGATAGAAGAGAGATATGCACAGCTGTTTGCTCCCCCAGGTATTAATCACTTACTCTGGGTTTATTAATAAACAAAAGTGATTTTATTAAGTATAAAAAGTAGGATTTAAGTGGTTTCAATTAATAACAGACAGAACAAAGTAAGTCACAAAGCAAAATAAAACAAACTCGCAAGTCTAAGCCTAATACATTAAGAAACTGATTACAGGTAATATCTCACCCTCAGAGATGTTCCAATAAGTTTCTTTCACAGACCAGCCTCCTTCCTACTCTGGGCCCAGTCCTTTCCCCGGTACAGTCTTTGTTAGGTCCAGCAGACATCTCAGGTGGTAAGCTGGGGTTTTCTCATGACTGTCAGCCTCCTTTGTCCTGCTCCACCACCTTTTATAACTTTGGCACAAGGTGGGAATCTTTTGTCTGTGCTTGTCCCCACCCCTGCCTCATCAATGGAAAAGTACAAGGATTAAGATGGATTCCAGTATCATGTGACATGGTCACATGTCACTGTAAGACCCCTAGTCTCCATTCTTCCTGGGTTGGCCCACACATACACAGGAAGGTTTGCAGGTAAATAAACCATTTACAACCAATTGTCTGGGTCAATGAGAGTCACCACGATTCTAAACCACCATTAATGGCCCACACTTTGCATAATTAGAATAG